GTGTAGGAATTATTGTTCTAGATTCTTCCCCCCCGCCCCCCCACCTCCCCGAAACTTCCATGTAGAGAAATACTATTTGGTCTTGTTAATCTGGCTTTTTTTGGTTTAGCAGGTTATTTTAAGGCATTTATGGTTGGTGTTGATAAAGTTTATAGCACTTCCTGTATGTTTAGTAACTTGAACTTTGCAAAGTGCTTTAGCACTTATTATCTCATTTTTATTGACAATTGAACTGTGAGGTTTGGAAACATAGAGATTATTACCCTTTTTTTGTATGGATGAGGAATCCTAAGCTTAGATGTCTCATGGCGAATTAGTGATAATCTTTCAGCTGGAGGTTTCAGGGTATATGTAAAACTGATTCCTCTAGAATAAGGGGGGAAATATTTGTCAGTGTTTCTGGTATAGTAACACCTCAAGTTTATCAATGTTGATGATATCGTTTAGTGGCTTTTAATGACTTTGGCTCCTAGAGGTCTTCAGGGATTTTGCAGAAACTTTGCGTAATCAGAACTGGAAATGTGTTGTTACTGGCAGGGATGCCGCTGGACACTCTGTAGGCACCAGACAACGCACACAAGAAAGAATTATTCCCCAAATGTCATTAGTGCCAAACCCTGATGTACCTGCATGGCCATTCTTGGATGGAGGATGAGATAGACCTCTCTCTGATGCAAGAGGAAGAGGGAGGACAGATGTTTGGGTCTGGAGAATGAAGTAGGGAGATGGATGCCCTAAATCATCTCCTCAGAGGATCAGAGGGAGCTGCTGTGCAGAAACCTGCAGGTATTAGACTGGGTTACATTGCAGGGGCATGGAGCAGGGCTTGTGGAAATGACATGGGGGGAGAGATGGGTACATGCTTGTGATGGGCTCATCAAGTCAAAGAGTTTGGAAGTCATAATAGAATTTAGTAGAAGCTGTCAGATATTTTTAAACCAGAGATTTGTTGTTGTTTTTTAAGATAAAGGAGATTGATTTACTCTTTATAATGTTGGGTAGGATACAAATTTGCACCCTCTTACCTCCTTTCCCCGTGCTGCCTATCAGTAGATGACACTGCTAGGTGTTTATTTGAGCGAGGCCAGTGCCTGAAGTTGATTTGACCTCACTGCGCACCATGGAGTCCTGCCACTTCTGCCTCCCAAACCTCTCCAGATGAAATCATATTTACCTTTCCCTTTCACCTCTTCTCTCCCCTCTCTGCAGACCATGCAGAGCCTTTAACTATTTCCAGCCCCATCTCCACACGCGCCTGTTCCAAATAGAGTATCTGCTTTGGTACCCTTTGGTGACTTTTAGGAGAAATTCTGACATGTTTACCCCCAGCTACTACAAGATTGGCCTTTGTGGTTTTACTTCAGGTCACTTGCCACTGGGCCCCCTCCTTGTGCCTTCTTTCCCTTAGGTCCTTGATGCTGCCTGTTCCCTGCACTGTAGCTTCACTTCTGCCATTCTGGTTGCAGACCTGCACTTCTTCCCCTGGTCCAGCTGATCCCAGTGCCAACTCATCATTTGAATTTATTTTAAAAGGCTTCTGACTTTAACTGAAAGATTCCTGCTGTACCCTCTCATGGCACCCATTTGTGAGTTATAATTCACTGAGGTCGTCTTCATGGCACACTTGTGAGTTATAATTCGTTGGAGGTCGTCTTCAGCTCTAGAAGGCAAGCTCCCTCTGGGGAAGACAGGTGCTCACGCTGCTTATTGCTGCCTCCTGGTTCTGGGCCCTGGGAGAGCCTGCCCAGTGGCAGCTCATCCTGGAGTGAATGGAGACTGACCTACTCTCCATGGCAAGAGTAACACGCCCAGTAAGGTCAGAAAGCAAGTTCAGGCAAGAGGCGGTAGCCAGTGAAACTTTTCATGATGCAATTTTCATTCCATTCATCAGTTAGTGGATTAGTAGTTCTGATGGAATTGGGGACAAAAACAGCCATAGGACGACCTAGCCAAGGTACTTAAAAAGCAGTGGCCCGAATAAAGGACCTAACTCAGTTTTCCTAGGTGCCCTTGAATCTGGTGGACTTCGTGCTTGTATAGCATTTATACTTCAGTGTGTCTGGTACTAGAAAGCAGCTGGATGAAAATAGAGGCAAGCTGTTCTTTCTACTGCGTCTTCCTCTCCAGGAAGGTGGGGTATTTACAATGAAAGGGTAGGATTTTAACCTTTCAGCAAGGGAGCACCTAGTTTGCCAGTTGTTCTGCTGTTGCTTTAATGCCCCCTGTGGTATTAGGGCACCACTGGAAAATGCGTCACTTATCCTCGAAAGGAGGATATAGTATTTTTAAAGGGTGTTTTGCTTCCTTGACAGTTACTGGGCTAGTCCAGCAGGGATTTAGGAGTATGTAATACTGGAATGGCAGACAAGGTGTGGTCACTTGTGTCTTGGTGTTCCAGGAAGCAGTTTGGTGACACTGGAATCTCCAGAGTCAGCAAAGATTGTTTCTGAGGTGTGCTATTGCAACAGCTCCCTGCAGCTGGGGAATGAGGCGAGGAGAGAGCACCTGCCTGTTGGAAGTTTGTCTTGCCCTCAGCAAACTTGCCCTTAATGCCCATAAAATAATAATAAAAAAAAAAAGGAGCTGGGTCAAACAACCCCATAAAAAAGGGAATGGGAGTAGAAATTTGAAGTTCCAAAATCCCTTATAGAAAAACAATTTGACCTTGGCCAGTGTGGCTTTGTCGAAGTGTCGTCCCGTACCTGAAGGGTTGCAGGTTTGATTCCTGGTCAGGATACATACCTGGGTTACACGTTTAATCCCTAGTCTAGGAGTGTATGATCTCTTGTCTGGGCATGTAGGGGAGGCAAACAGTCAATGCTGCTCTCTCTCATTGATGTTTCTGTCCCTTTCCCTTTCTGTATAAGCAATGAAAAAAATGTCCTCAGGTGAGGATAAAAAAAAACCATTCATTAAAAAACAGACAAATGAAAAACAATTTAAATTTCCCATGTCATTGAAAATGGTATTAGGTGTCCCCTGGAATAATTTATTTCTAGCTATCAGACAAGATGCTTTTGGAATGTTCAGAAGGAGCAACACAAATGTTCTCTAGAAGCGAGTGTTAGAGAAATCTACCATTGGGAATGTATGTGAAAGGAGAGGAAGGATGGAGAATGCTCTTTCTGATAGGAAGTTCTCTTTAAATCTGAATCAGGAGGGGATTGAACCCATTCAAGGCAGGTGCCCTTGACTGGATGGATGTTTATAAAGTGAATAAAATCTTTGTATGTATACAGTGGGTTCCAAACATACTATCTAAGGCTTTGGTGCCTTTTCCAATCCAGACTTAAATTATGTACACCGTATTAGTAGTCGGGCATTTAAAAGCTCAAGAAAGTATTTTATATGCAGTCAAACTTGGACTTTTTATTTATAACATTATAGAATTGACTTCAGATGTTAGGATTTATTTTAAATTTTAGAAGCTATTTATTTTACAAGTGTGGAGCATGTATTAATGCTTCCCTGAAGTGAATACCCAGGCAATATAATTTACTCTTTCTTGACTAAAGAGTACCATAGTTAACCTTTCCTGAGCTTGAGCACGCCAGGCACTGTCCCCTGGCACTTGTTTGCTGTTGGTGGGAAACACGGACAAGTAAATCTAAAATGGAAGTCAGACCAATAGGTGCTAAAGCAGAAGTGTGTGCAGCATATGGAGCAGGTGATGGTTTTCCTGCCAGTGAACTGCTGAGGTGAAAGGCCTGAGACGCTTGAGTCAGTGTCACTAGAACCATGGAGTTGGATGGGCGCACCTGGCAAAGGAGCCTTGGGAATGTTCTGGAGAGTGAAGGCACTGTTCCATCCTGAAGGTACTAAAGAACCTTGGAAAGGTTTTGTTTTTCTGTTGTTTCCTGATGCATATGAAAGCCACATAAAATATTGAGTTAGCAATGAATCATGCCAATATAAGAATACCTGTGCTTATAGCTCCCAGGTAGCAGGCTGGAATACCACCAGTGTTGTGTTGGTTATCTACCACGAATATTACTGATGGGTTACTTGCTACTGGTGCTGTTATGGGTTATTCATGTCACCAGCTGTTGTTCTGGCCCTTAGCCAAGCTCTCAATCAGAAGCTTAGAGAGGAAATAACTTCCCTGGCCCCTCAGATTGTAAGGAGGGATCAGAATCTCAACCCTGGTCTGGCTTATCCGCAAGCCCATATATTCCTGATCACCACATAGGCACTTCCTGGGGAATGCTGCAGGTATGTGTTTGCTTGCTTGCTTCCTTGTTTTCAGGGGAGAAGCAGTTTGGGACTTATGTCTAAAAAGAGAACTCTAGCTTCCTGAGAGACAAAAGGAAAAGACAGTCACAATGGCATCTCACCCTTTAGTGAAGGGAAAGCTAAGGGACACAGGTACAAGGCTTAGTAAGCAGGGGCCTACTTTCTTGGAAAGCTCCCTTGAAGAGAGGACAGCCTTTGGGGGATTCTGAAATTGGCTGCCTTCATATGAAGCTCATGTTAGCTGCCATCCTACCTTTGGAGCATTGCCTTTCCCTTTGTTCACAGACTTTGGGTCAGTCCCTGCACCTCAGAGCTGCAGGACACAGGCAGGGAAGCTACCTGCTCCCATGTGTGCTCTGGGCACCTCCTGGCTGACACCCAGCATGGGCCTTGTGTGACAGCTGCTGGCCTTAACTGGCTTTGGGAACTGGTTCTCAAACCCTGTTGTGCTTCTGGGTCACTGACTAAGGTTGTTTAAGAATAACCTCCTCTGTGTTCCTGTCTTCAGAGATTCTGGTTCATGAGGTCTGGAATGCACTGCCTAGAAGAATCTGATGCAAAGGCCCTGGCCAGACTGTGAAAGTCTGCCTCTGACATTGTGCAGGTTTTTCCTGCACACGACTCACTTGGACAAACTTTTCTTGATGATGTACATGTATTTATACAATTTACTAGTTTCAAAATAACAAAAGGATACTGTTAGATTATTTAATTTTTTTTCTGGGTTTGCTCATTTTAAAAGTAATTTCTCTCTTTTGTTTTTGTAGGATACTAAGTTGTGGATAATAATGGAATATCTTGGTGGAGGCTCTGCACTAGATCTAGTAAGTATTAAGCTGGAAGCCTGTAGACATTAAAGTTCTTCTCAGTAAATCTTGGTTTTACTTGGAAGCTAATTCTGTGCTTACCCATTTTTGTTTTTCTCTCTTAAGTTCCATGAAGAGTGGACAAACTTTCTTATAATACGTATTTCTGCTTCTCATATATTACTGAAAATTATAGGTCTACTTTTGAAACCAGTTTTGTTATTTCTTGGGAAATCCATGAATTCATTCGTAAAAGCTGAGAAGGATTTTGCCTGTCATTATCTTACTGAAGAACAGTTCGTTAGTTTTCCAAAGCTGGCTTTAACTTTTGTAGAGCTGAAACCCCATCATTGTTTCAAATATCAGATAGTAACTTAGCTTTGAAAATATGTGGGTAATATTTAAATTTATAATTTGTTGAATTTTTAAAAATTAAAACATTTTCAGGACTAAGTCAGGCACAGTGTGATGATTGCAGTGTGGTGCCACATATCAGAGCTGTTGTCAGGTTATGACTGTTTATGGTGGCGCTGATCCAGTACCACTGGCCGTCTCCTACCTGGTCTCCACCTACTGTGCCGTTGGTGTTCCACAAGGTAGTGGAAGCTAGGTGTATAGAATGACCTCAAAATCACAGTCTGTGACTTGTGACTCATGGTTAAACATGGTTTCCATTATCACTGATGAGATGCTCAGAAATAAGCATTGCTTAAATATTCCTTGAAGCACAATATATGCAAAACAGATTTTTAAAAGAACTCACACAGTTGTTTAGCCCTTGACATTTCATCCTCACTGTGGTTGAAGCTCTCAGTGTGAGAGCTGAAAGGAGCCCATGTTTGTTAGTGGTTATAGTGTAAATAGATTTTATTAGAAGTGCACTTTGATTTTAAAAGGAGCTTGCTTTCTCGTAGTAATAGTAGCAATTCTTAATGTTTTGGGGAAAGTAAACCTTTAAAACTATAAACCTCTAAAAGGCTTGTGTATCTAATTTAAACAAAATCATATGTAATAAACCATAAAAGCAGTTGGTCAAAATGATGTTAAAAGGAAAGTTAAAGAAAACAATTTAATGTGCTTTAGACCGTTACATTAAAATGGGAAAAGACACAAAACAGGTGGGTAAATGTTATGACTTGCTTTGCAGCTTTTCAATAAATATACACAATACACGAGGAAATTTTCTTTTTCTTTTTTTTCTTTTTTTTTTTTTGGTACTCTTGGGAAATAACACATGACTGTAGAAAGTTACCTCATTTTGTATAGTTAGATTTCCTTTTAAGTGAGTTTCATTCGTGACATATATAAAGTTGCTTGTGGGGGCTCTTTTTCTGACCTTGAGTCTCAGAGCAGCAGTTCTCTCTAAATGTTATATTTGTTCATTCTTAAAGCTATAGTAATTTATTTGGTGGTAGGTTTCTTGGAGCTTTGAATTGAAGTCTGTGAAATTTTAGACATTGTAGTTTAAGAAGCACAGAACTCTCCACTTTAAATAAAATCCCATGTGGTATGAAGGTCCCAGCAAACTACTCTCTGCCTTACACGTCAGTGGTCCTGGTGACAAGAACCAGTCATCCCCTTTTGGAGGTCCCTCATCATCTCTGATGAAGAAATGGAGACACTCAGAAAATAGGTGTTTCATGCAGCCAACAGAGCTGAACTTTGGGCCTTGTTGTGACCAGATGGGCTTCCCTGATACCATCCTGTCCTTCCCCTCCATCTGACTTTGTTGTATCTTCTTTGTCTTGTATCCTTTTTCTGTTGGCCTGCCCACACCCATCTCTTACAACAGGACACACTTTAATAATGGGATACAAGAATTATTTTTTGCCTGTTGAAAACTGTTAGTTTTGAGATGGTCTTATGTTTATAATAGATTTAAAAAAAAAAGGATGTTGTCCCACATAATTTGATACCATGTAGAGATGTTTGACAAACTTAAAAATGTATCTGCAATGTGTTTTTAAAAAATGAGATAGTATGTTCCTTGAGGTTTAGGCTGAGCTGCTATTGTAGTGGTCCCAGGGTCTACCACATGATAGAAATTTCTTTTCCACATGTCGGGGTCAGTGGGCGCTAGTCCACATGGTCATCTGGGTCCTGCACTGGTGGGTGGTTCTGTCTAATCCATGGCTTTCCATGGTCTTCAGTCATTCTCCCTCTGGCTGCCAGTATTTCAAGGACAAGATCAGGAGAGGGGCATGAGTCCCTTCTGCTCATATTCCATTGGGGAGAACTTATTTACATGAGCAGACTTGCTGCTGCAGAGGCTGGCATATGTGGCCTCTTTTTGGGTGGTCACATGCCTGGTTAATAAATAGTCTCTGTTGCAGAGGAAGGAGAGGGTATTAGAAGTCACCCAGAGATGAGATGCAGCCTAAACTTATTTTCTTGGGAGTCCTTCTCTTATAAAGATTATTTGAAGATTCCACAGTTCTCTTAATGATAGAGACTGCTATATTTATACTGCTTAGTAATGGTGGGGAATGCTAATATATGACTCCAAGAAGTTAGCTCATCCTGTCTTAACCCACTAGACAGGATCTCTGTGATGTAAAAAGCAACCGAATACCATTTATAGCAAATTTTGACACCAAGGACATTACTTTACCCCCCACCCCAAGTAAATAGAATGTCCCCCTTGCCCATGGCAAGTAAATCACTGGTAGGTGGTGTTTAGGCCATGTTTAAATACATACATTAATCAGAGGGCTGGTTCTCAAATACCAGGGGAAAATTTTTCAGTTAGTTTTTCTCAGCTCTTCTTACCTCCCCTTGCTAATGACACAAAGCTGCTCTACTATTCTCTTTCCAAGACTTGATAATAGAAGGAAGACTAAAGTTAAACACAAGTCTAGCCAAATGTTACTGATAATCTGCTTGGTGCAAAAGGTGTTGGAGGAGGAATTTACACTCTGTAATATGATTCTGAACAACTAGATTATCCTTCTGTGTTCTGGTTTTATGACTGAGAGCAAACACCCCAGGCATCTCTGCCCTCCTCCTGCTTATTAAAATTTCTACATTGCATGAACACTCAAAAATAAATGTGGAGAAGACAGACAGGGAGGGTTTCTAGACTGTGCTCTTTGAAACAGTAGTTTCAATGTGCGTTTCTTGAAAAGTAAGACTCTTGGTCAGATAACTGGGGAAAATTAGGTTCTGTGGAACAAAGTGTGCAACATGTTGCATTAGTCTGAGGTAATTTTTGAATAGTATCTTAAGTAGAATTCGGTATACTTCCTGTCAGGCTAGTTGGCCTAAGTAGTGTGACTAAGCGTATAATATACAGTAAGACTACAGTGATCAGCACCATTCTTTGATACCCGTGCCCTGAAAGTGATCGAGCTGAGGAGCTGCTGCCAGACAAGCTAGAGTCCCGGTGACCTTGCTGCCTTTTCCCCAGACTTTGTGCATTTTTGTGTAGACCACGTTGGGCCAGTGAGCAGAGGAGGCACAGGTCACTAGATGAACCAGAAAGCAGTTCCAGGCACAAGTAAAGCTGCAGTGAAGCAAGAAGTGGTGTCTCATCTGCCTCCTGCCCTTGGTCCCCGTAAACTGTGCTGTCACCATTGTCTCAGTGAGGGCCCTGATGCACACAGGAAAGTAGGAGCATCAGTCAGAACTGTCCCTTTCAAGGAGTGTCTTAGTTTTTATTCCCTTTGGTTTAAAGCACATCTGTCTTTTTAAAACTTAGTGAATGTCACAGGATTTTGTCTTCCTGTTAACTAAAGTGTGTGAATTTGGGTTATGATGGCTTTCACTGTGATTTGAATTTGGATTATGTCAAATCTGAAAATGCGATACCAAGGACCATTGTTCAGATGAAAAATTCATATTATAATTCTCCCCCACCCGCCCATCATTCCATAATTAGTTCTTTAGGCAGTGTTTGGTTGTTTTGCTGTAATTATTTAGTTGTGGTTGAATTCCCTGCTCTGCAAGTTATGGTGGACCCACCCAATTTGAACTGACCTTTGGAACCTAATTTTTTCCTTTTAAAATGGGCATGTGTTCTTGACATTTCTTCCTTACATCCTTACACAATTATGACTATTAAGAAGTCAATATCAGTTTCTTTGAGTTTCTCAGAATAAAAGTTTTCAGAGGTAATTATTACCTCATTTGGGATAATATAGTAATTTTTGTTTTTTATATATAAAATATAGCAAAAAAAAACCCCCAAACCAACCCTCAATCATTAGGAATTGAGTTCTTTCTGCTGTCTTTCCCCAAGTTTTAAAATTTAGGTTTAAAAACTTCTAGTGTAGGGGTAGCCTCAGAAAGCAGTGGGCTTGCAGCGGGCTCTCAGTGAGCTTCTCTTTTGGACCACTTGTGTTTTGATTACCATTATATATGTTAGGACAGGGCCAAGCTGCTTTGCACCCTATCCAGCAAGTCCTGTGAGTTTCTGGGCTTTTGTTCTCTGGATTAAAATCCATTAATGACTCAACTTGCAGGTATGGTGGGGCTTTCTCCCTGGACCTACTTTAAATCATAGCCAACTTTGCTTCATTCAGGAAAGTCATTTTCTCTGGTTCGCTGTAGTTGTTTTTCTTAGGGCCCTGTAAGTAGGTTTTACTTGTCTGAATAAAAATGTCTGTTTTGGAGTAAAGACGTTTTTAGATTTTAATTATTGTCCTCTATTTAACATGAGTATTAACTTTGTTTTATCATTTCAGACTTATTATAAGCATATAAGTAACTTTAATACTTTTTTTTTCTTGTTAGTTAGAACCTGGTCCTTTAGATGAAACTCAGATTGCTACTATATTAAGAGAAATACTAAAAGGACTTGATTATTTGCATTCAGAGAAGAAAATTCATAGAGATATTAAAGGTAAGAAAGCATTTTGTTTTTATTCCCCTGAAACACCAAAGGTTTGTAGGAATGTGCTGTAGAGTTAAACTGTGCTTCTCTTCTCAAGGGAGGTTGTACTGTGCATATTTGTAGAGTATCTTCAGCTACATGGAAGGTGAGTTGGCTTTGAGGGGTGTCTAACCAAAAGCATCCCCTTGGAGTCTTTTCTTGCTGAGCACAAGGTCTTGTTGGAAAGAGAATATACACATTTCCAAAATGATAATGGATGGAACAGCACAGGAAACAGTCCCAGGAGGCACCTCGATTTTATTTTGCAGCTGCCAATGTTCTGCTGTCTGAACATGGGGAGGTGAAGCTGGCCGATTTTGGAGTGGCAGGCCAGCTGACAGATACCCAGATAAAAAGAAACACCTTCGTGGGCACCCCTTTCTGGATGGCACCTGAAGTTATTAAACAGTCAGCCTATGACTCAAAGGTTAGTGCTCATGCGTCACGCTCACTGGGTCTGGAGAATTCTCCACTTTTGTATTTTCACCTTCTAGCTTTTCCAGTTAGAGTGAAGACTGACTCCTTGAAGTAGATCATAAAGGTCATCCTTGGACCTTGGTTAAAAACAGGGTAATGAAATTTTTAGCTTAAACAATGTCAGCTTGGTGCTGGTGGGGAACAGCGTGAAAGGAGGGTGTTTGAAGGCGGGTGTTGAGGGATGGAGATCAATGTGGCGACCGGGGTCGAGGCACCCAGTTAGAGGCATGTGCATTGTGGGTCCACAGAGAGGGGTCCGCGGTTGTTTGTGTCCAGGTGGTAATTGAAACCTGAGAGGAGTGGGTGGAGGAGGAGAACCTTGGACCATATTCTGAATGGTATTTTAGGGGCAAGTACAGAAAGAGATCCCACAAGTGAAACAGAATCCACAAAAATGTAAGACCAGAATCTAGAAAGAAGAATGCTTTTAGTGATTGCTACAGATTCTTCGTATCATTATTTTTAGTTCCCAATTAGTATCTTTAATTTCACAGATTCCTAACCAGCATGAGGCAAAATTATGATTCCTTTTTTTCCAACCTCTTTTATGTGTCATATGTTATACTCTCCCAGATTTTCCTGCATTTTCCCCCTCTGTTGCCCTTCAAATTTCTTAACCTTTTTAGTATATAGTGAAAAACTAGAGACCCTGCCTCCTGGATCTCAGATTTAATTCCATTAAATTAACCCCCAGGATAGCAGGACTAGCTAGTATTTGGTGTGTTTGTTGCTTGTTAAGGCTTTGCCCTGTGCGATGGATGGATTACCCCACACCTACTTCTCATCTCTGCAGCCTCATTCGATATTGGTCTTTTCCTGGGTACATCTCATTTTAGGCCTTGGCAGGGACTTACCTGTTCAGTCTATTCTTTGTATTTTAAGCTGAGGTTCATTTATCAAAATTCATAGGTCTAGGTTTTGGTAGGTAGTAGAATCCAGATTTCTTAACTCATTTGATTATACCACACTGATTATTCTCTTTCTAGTAAATTAGCTGATCAACTGTGGCACATGTTACTCAGGATTCAGATCTTAAATTTTCATTATTACCTACCATTGTTCACTTAACAGTTTTTCTTCAAGAGTTTTCCTGGCTGCCCTGTTTTCCTCTCCATCTTTCTACCTGCTACACTGTCTCTGGATGTTTGCCAGAGGCAGCCTCTGAACAGCAGAGATTCTAATGTATCACAAAGCTTTGCCACCTTATTTCCTGGAGTTCCCCCTGCCCTCCCATGTTCTTATCAAGATCATAATGTTCTTATCTGATCAGTAGATGTTGCAGCATTCTTTTTAGGTAGATTAAAAAGCTGCTGTCTCTCAATAATGAAATCAAGGAAGAAATCAAAAGATACCTTGAAACAAATGAAAATGAGGACACAACAATCAAATCTGTGGGACACTGGGAAAGCAATCCTAAGAGAGAAATTCATAGCATTATAGGCCTATCTCAAAAAACAAGAAAAAGCTCAAATAAACAATCTAACTTCACACTAAAAGGAACTTGAAAAGGAACAACAAACAAAGCATAATGTGAGTAGAAGGAAGGATATAATTAAGATCAGAGCAGAAATAAATGAAATAGAATTTTTAAAAATGTACAAAAGATCAGTGAATCCAAGACCTGGTTCTTCGACAAGACAAACAAGATTGACAAACCTTTAACCAGCCTTATCAAGAAGAAAAGAGAGAGGACTCAAATTAATAAAATCAGAAATGAAAGAGGAGGAATAACAGCTGACACCAAAGATATACAAAGGATTGTAAGAAAATATTATGAACAACTATATGTCAACAAACTGTACAACCTGGACGAAATGAATAAATTCCTAGAAACATATACTTTTCCAAAAATAAATCAGGAAGAATCAGAGAATCTGAATAGACAGAATACATCTAATGAAATTGAAGCAGTAATTAAAAAAAATCCCAACAAACAAAAGCCGTGGACCAGATGGCTTCACAGGTGAATTGTACCAAACATTCCGAGAACTAACACCTCTCTTTCTCAGACTATTTCATAAGATTTAAGAGGAGGGAAAGCTCCCAAACTCATTTTACAAGGTCAGTATTACCCTAATTCCAAAATCAGATAAAGACACTACAGAGAAAGAAAATTATAGGCCAATATTACTGAGGAACACAGGTGCTAAAATCCTCAATAAAATATTAGCAAACCAAATCCAGCAGTACATCAAAAAATCATATACCATGATAGAGTGGGATTTATTCTGAGAATGCAAGGATGGTACAACATTTGTAAATCAATAAATGTGATTCACCACATAAGCAAAAGGAAGGCTAAAAACCATATGATATGTCAATGGATACACAAAAAGCTTTTGATAAAATTTAGCACCCATTTATGATAAAAACTCTCAGCGAAGTGGGAATAGAGGGAACATACCCAAACATAATAAGGCCATATATGACAAACCTACTACCAACATCATAATCAATAGGCAAAAACTATAAACGTTCCGCTTAACATCAGGAATAAGACAGGGAAATCTGCTTTCACCTCTCTTATTCAACATAATACTGGAAATCCTAGCCACAGCAGACAAGAAGAAATAAAAGGCACCCAAATTGGAAAGGAAAAATAAAATTTTTTATTTTCAGATGACAAGATACTGTATATAGAGAACCCCAAAAGTTCCACCAAGAAACTACTAGAACTGATAAATGAATTCAGCAAAGTAGCAGGATACAAAATTAATATCCAGAAATCAGTTGCATTTTTATATGCCAATAATGAACTAACAGAAAGGGAAATTAAGAAAACAATCCCATTCACAATTACTTCAAAAAAGAATAAAATACCTAGGAATAAACCTAACCAAGGAGGTAAAAGACCTGTACTTGGGATATTATAAGACACTAAAGAAAGAAATGGGAGAAGATACAAATGAGTGGAGGCACATACCATGTTCATGGATAGGACAAATTAACATCATTAAAGTGCCCATACTATCCAAAGCAATCTTTAGATTCAACACAATTCCTATCAAGATACCAATGATGTATTTCACAGAACTGCTACAAATATTTCAAAAATTTATATGGAATGACAAAAGGCCCCACATAGCAATAGCATTCCTGGAGAAGAAGAACAAAATTGGAGGAATCACGCCAACTAATAATCAAACTATATTACAATGCCATCGTAATTAAAACAGGCCGATACTGGCACAAGAACAGAATGCAAATCAATGGAACTGAATAGAGAGCCCAGAAATAAACACATACCTTTATAGTCAATTAATATTTGACAGTGGAAATAAGCACATACAGTGGATTAAAGATAGTTTTTTCAATAAATAGTGTTGAAAATTGGATAGCTAAGTTCAGAAAGATGAAACTCGACCCCCTTACACCACACACAAGAATAAATTCAAAGTGGATCAAAGACTTGACACCTCTGAGTTTCCATTCTAGATGGTAGGGTAGGCACACATGGCTTGTCTCTTTGAGCAACTACATCAAAATTACAGCTAAAATATATAACAACCATCACTCAGGAGCATCAGAAGTTAAGTTGAATAGGAGTCTGAAAAGTATGGAACTAAAGAAACCATATCCTTTGAGACTGGTAGGAGCGGTGTGGACAGGGAACGGGCTGGTCCCACCACATACATGTGGTGCATAAAAAGTCAGAAGGGATATTAGTATCTTGGGAATGGGCAGGCCCAGCCCCACACCAATTCCTCTGCCCAGGGTTGCAGTGGCAGGAAGATAAGTCTCACAACTTCTGGCTTCAAAAATCAGGGGGTTGAGTTGGTGGAAGAAACTTTTGGGGCCCCAAGCTGTTCCTCTTAAATAACCCACACATGGACTCACCTACTTGAAGTCCCACTGAACTCCTGCACCAGGGTGGCAGCTTGAAGGGGATCAGGGGCATACTGGGAGAGGCTGAAGTGTCTGGCATCAAGGTGAGCAGAGGCCATTGTCCCTTTTCTGAGCTGTTCCTCCACAGAGCCTTGGAGCAGGCCAGCTGGTCCCATTTGTCAGACCCCTTCAACCTGTCTAACCCCTGACCCACCCAATTTAGGGGCTCACCCAAACTGCTTTTCCATGTGAATGGAGGCCTTGATTCCTCCTTTTCAACTTCCTAAATCCCATCAAACAAGCAAGCTGGCCTCAAGTGAGCTCCAGGCCTGGCACTAGCAGCAGCCAGCTTAGACTCACAGCTTGGTTTTGCCAAGGAATCTCCAACCCCAGCACAAGTAGCAGCCTTCTCAGATTGCTTTATATCCTAGGAAGAGTGGGCCCCAGACAAAACACAGGTGTGGGCTGTCCTTGGCCTGCACCACCTGGGAAACCCCAGAGCCAGCGTACCCAGTGGACAACTACAGACCACTTCGATGCCTCACCATCCTACTCCTGCACAGCCGATCCTCCATGGAGTTCGGAGGTTGATGGTCAGTGGTCACAGCCAGACCTTGCAGCTGCCTTGCCTAAGTAAATCCCTCCCATTGACCTGCCAACGGCAACCAAGAGGAGGGTATACTCAGCCCACATAAAGGGTGCACCTCGAATTGCCAGCTTGGGTCATAGGGGAGGTTGTGTCACTGAACCCTAGAGGACACCTACTACATTAGGCTACAATACCAAGACACGGGGTCAAAGCAGCTGTAACTTAGACATAGAAACAAACACATGGAGGTTGCCAAAATGACGACACAAAGAAATATGGCCCAAATGAAAGAACAGATAAAAATTCCAGAAAAAGAGCTAAACGAAATGGACATAAGCAAACTATCAGATGCAGAGTTCGAAACTCTGGTTATAAGGATGTTCAGGAAACTTAGGACCTCAGTGGCATAAAAAAAGATCCAGTAAGAAATGAAGGATTCACTAATTGAAATAAAGAATAATTTATAGGGAAACAGTAGTAGGCTGGATGAAGCCAAGAATCAATGATCTGGAACACAAGGAAGGGAAAAACAATCA